AAAATGTTTAACAACAATTACAAACATGCTTGAAACAAATTTAAAAAAAAAGAAGTCGAAAGACTCAGTCAACTCTAAACTACCCTCCTCTAGATTCTGCAATTAACCTCGTTCTGTGCACACATTCTCACTTATCTACCTGTTCATCCATATCAGTATTGTTTTTTGTACATTTCAAAGTCAGCTGCAAACTTCTGCTCAGATGGGCAATGATCAAACCTGAACATTCAGGATGAACACTGGCCTTCAGCTCCATAGACTGATTCTGGGTTCCTTGGGGAGATAAGCATTTTGTAACTGGATGATGGGGGTGGGGAGACACACACACACACATCAGAGGTTTTTTTTTTTTTTTTTTATAAGAAGTGCTGACAGGGAAAGGCAGTGTAGAATGAGGGCTAAAAACCAGGTATTTGATGCCCAAAAGTAGATGATTGGATTAAAGAGATGCGGTACATATACACAATGGAATATTACTCGGCAATCAAAAAAAGATAAGCATGTGCCTTTTGCAGCAACATGGATGGAGCTGGAAGGGGTCATGCTCAGTGAAGTAAGCCAGAAAGAAAAAGAAAAATACTCATAGCAGGAGCATAAAGGATCAAGGGAAAATAATAATAATAATAATGAACAACTATATACCAGAGACATTTTATGGGGGTTTGGTGGGGGATGGGAGGAGGGGGAAAGTGCATGGGACTGTGTGATGGCACATGGGTGATTTGGTGATGGGAAGCCCACGGGGATTACAACTGAGATGGCAAAAAGCATAAAATGATGTAAAAATAAACAATTATTTAAAAATTAAAAAAAAATAAAACCAGACATTTGGGGCCCAACCTATCTCACCCAATTATCTTGGTAGAGAGAGTAGAACCCAGGGCATCAGACACAGGTTTCGTGACTAAACCTGGTTCCAGGAAAACAGGATTGGATGTATCCCTGGAAACCACAAAATCTAACATAGGGGCTTGAATCCAGTTTGCAGCAGATCCGCGGCTGCTGCTGTAACAGTGTAAGCTCCTGGCCCACCCCACCTACTCCAAGGAAGGTTGGAGCTGGGCAGGAAGTGGAAAGAAGACTGGAGGAGACACTTGGAGCAGAGAGACATGTGAAGAAACCACGCTTGCCTTTTGGCCTTGGACTTGTACTAGGAACTTGTGGGATGTGGAAGGAGACACTTGAAAGAGACGGAGATCTGGGTGAGAGACCCTTGGGGAGGCTGACAATGGCAGTCTCTACCTGGACTTGTATTTGGGTTTGCGCCTTCCCTCCCAGGCTCGCTGGCCCCTCCTGCCCTTTCTGATGGGTTCCCTGGAGAAGGTGCCCTAGACTTGTGGCAAGCTTTTGGGCTCCAGCTGCTCTGCTTTGGGCCAAATCCATTTGGCTGAGCATTTACCCACAGGGGGATGAGTAATTTGGGGATTTGGGGTGTTTCTTTCTCTTCTTTTAATTGCACACTAGTTGTATTAAAGTTCTTTGTTGACGGTCTTACACACTAAGAGTATGTTTGTCTTGATGCAGCAAATGGCAGAACTCATTTAGAGCAGGCAGGTTAGCGGTCCCAGGGTGCCTCTCACTATGCCCTGCTAGCACTCCCTCATAGTTCTGGCCAGAACTGTTACAGGCTAGCCTCAACTAGCTCACCCACAGCCAGGGCAACTACATAGGAGCAGGTGACAGGCACAGGCAAAGCCCCAGGCCCAACTGGCCTTTGGACAGTAGCTCAGCCCACAGCTGGGGCCAGACACACAGCAGACTCTGCAGTCATCTTCCTCTTCCCACCCATCAAAACACATTTCTTTTTAAAAAGTTTTTCTGAATACCAGATGGTTTCACTCATAGCAGGAGTATAAAGAACCAGGGGAGAAAATAATAGTAATAATGAACAACTATATACCAGAGACATTTTACAGGGGTGGAATGGGGAATGGGATCAAAAACGG